AGTGAAGGATGAAGGCTACGTGTATATGGTGGGTGTATATAATTTGAAAACGAATCAGGACATTAACTTGGCTACATAATTATGGTTCATTTTTAAGCTGCTGTTCAGTTTTCATTCTTCATCAGAGGAGAATGGAGTCAATAGCGAGCAGGTTTTCGGTCCTGCTCGGGTTCAGTATTTAGGCCAATCGTGTTTAATACAGCTTTTGGGCAGGGAAACAGCTTGAGAGCTGCTCAGTGCCTCCGGCTACCAGCTGCTTGCCTAATTGGCCTGGGAGCACAGTGGAAAGAAAGCCGAGACACCAAGTCAGCTGGCTTCAGTATTGTTCCCAACTGGAAGAAACCTGCTTATTGGTTTGAAGTGGCATCCAGTGTCATAGATACACAGCAACCGTTTGCTCAGGGATGGTGCTATCAATACTAGCTGACCGGTTCCTTTGCATCAAGGCAGTGTGAGTGAAGTTTGAATCCACATCTTTCTCTTCTGTTGGGCAACACTTGAAGGCTGCTGAGCTAAAATTTATTTTAAGATTGAGCCTTTCCTCATCTGAGTGGGAGGTTTCACAAGGAAGCATGGCAGGCACGTAAGACATATTGAAGAGGGAGCCTAAATAATATCCGTAGATACATACAGAAGGGAAATAGACGTAGAAGACAAAGAGCTTAGTTTGGGGAAGTAGGGCGGTGTGCTCTGAATTAGTCTTCCAGATACTCAGTTAACTTGACTTTGACAGTCAACGAGGCTCAAAATGTATCCTTCATCAAGAGTGGTAAGTGCTAAGCTATAGGGGAAAGAAGAGTTTCTGGTTTTGGTAGATTTTCTTGTGAAGAAATCCCAGGAGGTTCTTGTAAGGAATTTGAAATATTTGGGGTTGTTAACCTTTAAGTTGTTTAACCTTTAAAATCCATGCCACTCTATTTTGTTTGGGAAGATAATATTTTCTATGCAGTTAACACTTCGTTTATGAAGTAAATGCTAATAAATTTGTTTTATTTAAGACATTCATCTGTTTGAATGTGTAAGGAATGTAGACAAATAACTGCTTATGATCACAGTGATTTCTTTCTATAATTATTTAAATATTGTTCAGTTGGGTGATTTGTTTCTATAATTACGTAAATACTGTTCTGTTGGGTTTTCAAATATTTTTATAGGTATGTATGTGTCTAGTGCATTTTCACAGGTGATTTTATTAGTTGAGACCCTAACAAAATAGGGCTAAGCAACCAAACTTGGTCTGTCCATTTCTCTCCAAGTTAATAAACTGCTTTGACTTGAAAGGGCAGCGATCTTGAAGATAAATAATTTTAAATTTTTCTATTATCAGTGGTGGCATACAGATCGAATGCTGCTATTAGTGCTTCTGCTGAAGGAGAAGACATAACTTGCCCATTATATGTTATGTTCTGGTAGCATCTGACTGGCAAACCAACTTGTTGCTAGCCATGGTATCTCCTGGTTTTTTGCTACAAGCAGATGGTTCAAGAAACGTAAGTCATGGGGAGATGCTGGCCGTTACAGAAATGGGATAAAGGAGGATTTCAAAGAGCATGTAGACAAATGGGTGAGAAAATAAGCTTGTTCTGTAGTTTACAAAACAACTACTTCTGCCAACTGAAGACTTTCTGCAAATAATTCATCTGCTGGTAAATAACCAGTGTAGCAACCTTTATTATGCTGATCATATATGGTACTGCCTGTGTGCAAACTGTCTTTGCAGTTGATGAAAGTTTGCACGTAGGACAACTGCAGACGACAGAACAGCATTTTTCCCAACTGTATAGTAATTATATTAATCATTACGGTGAACCTAAACAGGCAATAATAAAAAAGTGCGAGACTTTTTATGCCTTAAAATTATGTATTATATTACTATGAAAAACTGTCTTGTATTCAAAATACCACTTGTTTAAATGCTGCTTAGCTTTTTAAATTGATACGGATAATTAGTGTAAAACTTAGTGTGGACAGTCTTAACCCAGACATTTGGCTCTTAATAATTTTGCCTAGACATTTTTCTTACAAAATCAAGTTTAAATAGAATGCAATGAAAGCAATGAGACTGTAGGTCATCATTTTGTCTACAGGATCTCTGCTAGGAAAGAAATTACCTAACCTGATTTTTTTTTTTTAATTGATTTCAGTGAAACCAATGCAACCTTACGTAGACAAGTTCTCGTAATCAAAGTTAAATTTGCAGGGCTGTCATCTAAGGAGATTTTTGCTAAACGAAATATACTTAATAAATACCTACCATCTTCTTCCTCCCCATCTTCCACGTGCAAAAAGTCATTAAAGCATATGTTGCGTTTTCTACTGTACTTCTAAAAACCTGTTACAGGACTTTTACTTCCAGGATGATTTAAATTTTATAGAAGAACAAATGAAGTAGTTAATCAAATCCTCATCAACTCCTCAAATTCTCTAACTCCTGATTAACATAGTTATCCCAAAGACTAGTCAGAGTTGCATGTTACCGCTACTGGACCTCTTCCCCCATGCCCAGTAAATAAATAAAATCCCTATGGATCAAATCACGTGCCATTTAACAGTTAAACTGAATTTTCAGAAAGTAACAAAAAAGCTTCCTGACTTCACAGGAAAAACTGCAAACTGTTTATGACTTTTTACAGAACTTGCAATTTTCCTTGTTGTCCTATTAATACGCTACAATTAAATAGGCCATTAGGATGGCTGACCAGGTTAGACACTATCAGATGCTTCATCTGCTTCTCACTAGCTTTAGCTTCCCTTGCACTTCAGCAGTTTATATCCCGCACATCATCACAGCTTTTGGTTTTTAACTATGGCAGTTATTTCAAAAAGGTGATTTTAGTTCTTCATCATAAAGACTAGTTTTCATTTTAATTTGATGTTTAAAGCCTCCTTATTCTTTGATAATGCAATTGTCTGTGTACCATACTTGCGAAGGTTCTCCTCCTTGCATGGGTTCTCGCTTTCCCCTCTCTCCGTACAAATTTGAAGGTGATTGTATGCAATAGCCTCTCTGGTAATTGCATCTAATCATACATCTTTAGCTTTTAAAGTTAATTATCACTTATCACGTTAATTCTTGAATCATCATGGTTTCAAATACCTCGTTAGAGGAACACTTCTCATCGCTCTTCTTGCAAATCATGTCTGTTTCTCACAAATGTTTACTTTTTACATGTAAAAGGGGAAGCTTCCCTCCACGCCAGCCAGCCTCATCAGCCCTGGAGTTCTCTGCAGTTATGATTCAAATCTAGCTGAGATCTACTACTGTGGTGTAGAAAATACAAATTAAATTTGTTTCATTTCAGCCTCTCTAGGTGGTATTCAGTATCCATGTAGCCTTGGGCAGCGATGTGGTTAACTATGTCCCCTACCAAATGCTTCCTCTAATCTGTTACTGGCAGGAAGGGGAGGGTTGCCAGTGCCTTTTTGTTGTAGCCGTGTTCAGCCATGAAACCTGAGTCTGGTGCCTCATCTCTTTCCAAAATAGGACGTTTGCCAGCAGTGATGGGAGAGGTAGCAAATGAGAAAGGAAGGAGCAAAAACTGTGACTGATGTAGTGGGGAGCAACAGATGTCATGTGGAAAATTGAGATATACTCAATAAGCATTTTCTACAAACATTTTCATACTGATGTAACAGTTATGGGGTGTGAGATATGAGCATATGAGAGAGTGAGTGAGTTTAAGCTTTGAAGCATTTCAGACAGATGGAAGTTTGTGGTTGAAGACAATTTATGTGGAATTACAGGCTAGTGGTGTTCACAGCTTAATGATTCTGCTTTAAAAGTGATTTTATGTTATAATTAAAGAGATGTGGTGAAAGAGAATAGAAGGAGCTGGGTTACAGGAAGCAAGGGAAATAAAGGCCAAGAGCTGCCGCTGCCGTGAAAAGCGTGTTATCCAGAAAGAGCTTTAGCCTGTCTAAGAACATAATACAGAGAATTACAGGTTACTCTTGTGGTACTGACTTCAGCTTGCACTGTTGACCAATGCAGATTTCTTTGAATACATAATTAAAGGCAATATCACAATAAATGAATTGGAAAAGATGCTTTGACATCTGTATTACAAATCATATTAAAGTACATACTTATCTAGAACAGAACAAACCTGTGTCTGAATCAGCACAAAGTATTTGATATTCAGCAGCAGAAAAAAAAATGCTGTAATACTGTGGGTTTTATTTTCCAAATTGGCTTTTAGCACTTGAAGCAGATTTCAATTACTCAGAGTATTGCCCTTTGTATAAAAGGAAAAATGGTTTATTTGCAATGTACTCACCTTGCCAAAATGTCTTGTTTGTAGCTTGCTTTTCCATGTTTCTTTCTTTTTGATGTATTTCAGTGCTCAGAGATCACTCTTCACCTTAATGTTAACTGTTTTGTAAGCACCTCTTGCTTCTGTTCTTGTCAAACTTGAAATTAATAAATCTAATTGAATTTTTGCAATCCCATCTATTGTAATGCTTTACACTTGGGCTTGTGTCAATTGAAATAACAAAACAATGGTTTCTTCTGAATTCCGGTGCCTCTACACAGTTAATTGACTAAATCTCTAGTGTTAGTATTTCTACTGTTTTCGGAAAATCAATATTCTCCATATTGCTTGAGTTATTCCTTTTATTATAATTTTTAAATAGTTGTTTTATGGAAATTATTTGGGATATTTTGGGGCTGTCACCATTTTGATAGCGTTTTATAGACATTTTTCTTTAGAGACGACGGCTTTCAGTAACATTAGCATGAGTCATAGAATACAGTATGTATTCCCTAAGTATATTGTTTTCTAGTCTTCATGCTCTGTATCAGACTAACTCAACTTTCATCATTCATACATTTTATAGATTAAGTTTTGCTTCAGATGTGTCAGAAATATGTATGACAGCAAGTGTTTCCTTTATTGCTGAGGAGTTATTGCTTTTCACTAGATCATTTGCATTCTATGATTTGAACTTCAAAATTGATGATATTTACATTGAAATTTTGTATTTGTCATCCTTAACAGAAAGGGCTATTGCAAGACATGAAGTCAGAGAAATAGAACAACGTCATACAGTAGATGGCCCCCGACAAGATGTGACACTGGATGAAGAAGATGATGTGGTGATTATTTACAATAGAGTACCTAAGACTGCCAGCACATCCTTCACAAATATTGCCTATGATCTTTGTGCGAAGAACAAATATCATGTTCTACATATCAATACAACCAAAAATAATCCTGTTATGTCTCTGCAAGATCAGGTAAGCTGCTGCATTTGGGGTGCCTTTATTAAACAAGGGGAAAGTATAGAAAACTTTTTTGCTATTGCAAACTGATGGAATTGGGTTTTATGTCACATTTTCCAATATAAATGAATTCTAATGTGTTTATATTTTTTTTGTAGAGAATCAATATTATTTATTAAATAATAGGTTTAAGTTTTTGCTGGGCTACTGGAGGTGGCAAGTCTCTGTTTATCAGACAAAGCCAAAGCTAAAAAGGGATACAGCTAGGGCAGAAATGACCTTTGTTGTTACAACTGTAAAAGTTTATTGTACTGTCAACTGTCTCCCTTTTGGCTGTGTGATAATATTTACCTGTCATCTCCATCTGCAGTGAATGCAGTCTTAGGCGCTTTCCTCTCTGAGAAGTGCAGGCACTGTGCCATGCTGTCAGGGCTATACTTCTGTCTTTGGTACTGGGTCTGGTCAGGTCTCACAGGTGATAAAAAACAGGTAGAAAGAAGTGGTTGTAAATAGCTTGCACTCCAAAGGGTGGGTCACTTTGCACCCACTCAAAGCTCTCACTAAAATCAGCGTAGTCCCAGGCTAGAAATGATCATGGCTACCACTGCATCAGATGGTGAGTGTTAAAAAAAGATGATGGAGGATCAATGTCCTGTTTTTCTTGGGGTGTGGTGTGGTGAGGGAGTAGGTTTTTTGTTTTATTTTTAAAAATAATATTTCTTTGCTCGTCGTGAGTGCACATGCAAAGAACCGAGGTCAGAGGTCTGAAACATCACTATGTCATCATCCCTGTCTGTAAAACAAATGTTTCCAAACTCTCGAGTATGTACTACCGGTTGTTTGCTGATCATCTTAACCTGATATGCAGTAGAGGCAGGAGCTGTTCTGCATTGCAGCGTGTCAGCACTGAGGCTTCCAGCTCCTTTAAGTGCATGCCTACAGGCAGAAGCAGCTCAGCACAGCTGCGGGAGTGGGGCGAGGGGAAGCAGATGGTACCAGGTCCTCCACTTTCACTTCTGTATGTGGGAGAAAGATTGAGGTAGGGGATATGCAGTAGAGGCAGGAGCTGTTCTGCATTGCAGCGTGTCAGCACTGAGGCTTCCAGCTCCTTTAAGTGCATGCCTACAGGCAGAAGCAGCTCAGCACAGCTGCGGGAGTGGGGCGAGGGGAAGCAGATGGTACCAGGTCCTCCACTTTCACTTCTGTATGTGGGAGAAAGATTGAGGTAGGCGTGTCAGCACTGAGGCTTCCAGCTCCTTTAAGTGCATGCCTACAGGCAGAAGCAGCTCAGCACAGCTGCGGGAGTGGGGCGAGGGGAAGCAGATGGTACCAGGTCCTCCACTTTCACTTCTGTATGTGGGAGAAAGATTGAGGTAGGGATCTGTCGTGGTTTAACCTCAGTCGGCAACTAAGCACCACGCAGCCGCTCACTCACTTGTCCCCCCCCCCCGGTTGGGCGGGGGGGGGGAGTGGGGGAGCA